TTTTAAGTTCAGAAAGATACAATGTACTATATTAATAGTTCTGCAATAGTCTTTATGCATTACTTACTAAGTAGGGCAAATAAAAACCGAAAAAACTCTCATCGCTTCAAGCTAAGTTTTACTACCAAGTAAGTTCATGTCAAATTTTGCTACTAAATATATAACAAAAAGAAGAAAATCTCTTGGCTCTCTGGGTAGTTTGGATTTGGGAACTGAAAGGACTGGGGCTTGTAATCTATCTCCTGCAAATCAGAAGCTCTAAGTCTTCTATATCTTTCTTTTAAACAGATTTCAAGCCTATGAAAAGTATGTAGTATTACAAGCCCGCATTAAACGATCAGTCAGCTTTAATAATTACCAAGTTTTTGACTACTTTTTTTTAAAAATAAGGAATTGAACTGTTACTGGGCAAATACAGCTTAGTAGACCGAATTACTCCAAAATAGTGTTCTGGGAAGAAATATATTAACACTTTTCTGATTTTGAGGAAAGAGTGCCTTTTGTGCCTGAGTCATGGACTTTTCGAAACTATTTTTTGCACATCCAAAGAATACAGGATGCTTCTCTTAAAGCAATAAAGAATGTATGAGTTCCCTACTCCAAGAAGGGACCCTGAAGTTCGCAGCTCCGTCGACTTTGGCCAAGAAGACAACCCTTCTCTGGTCAATCCAGTTACCTTTGGTCAGGGCTCCCGATGAAGTCCCGCCCTCTTTCTTTTCCCGCCCATCCCGACCCAAAGTGAAGCGAGACAGCGGATCACTCACATCTTGCATGGCCCGAGTGCGGTGGTCAGAATTGATCTGGTCCCGGAGCTAAAGAAGAGTAAATGATGACACAGGCTGTTAAGAATTGTGCAGGTGAAAAGGCCGCCCCGGGGCGGTGCTGCCCCGCCAGTCTTAGCGGCTGAAGCAGAGGGCCCTCTGGGGTCTGCGCCCCCGGAGGGCCTTAACAAAGCCGGAGGCCCTAGGGAGCCCCGCACAGAGGCGAGGCGGGCGGGCCGGGGAGGGTTTGAGGCCGAAGTCGGCTCTCAGCGGTTAAACGCGGGCCAGCAGTCCAGCCTGTGAAGTAGCCCCTGCCCACGCTCCACTCACCGTGGACTTCTTAGTGAGCATCTCTTTGGCCATTACATCCATGAGCCGTTCCTTCTCCTCATGGTACCGCCGCTGTTGCTCCAGAATTGTCTCCATATCCCCTTCGCAGCGGTACAATTCCGGCCACGGACACAACCGGAAGCAGCTCCTACCGCCTCGCGCGCCTGCGTCCCCTCGCTGCTTGTCCCGCTGCACCTAAGTTCCGCGACTACCGGAAGTGCTTCAGGGACTGGAGGAAAAATGAGCACCACTAGGAGCTCAGGTCTGTGCTACCGAGATGGCAACAGTGCCCCCTGCTGGTCGGGGGTGTAGCGGTGTGACGCCTAGATATTCTCAGATGCCTCTAGACACACAAAAGGCTAGGAATCTTGAAGACTAGTGATGGCTGGCTTCCTGAAATATCTCGGGGCCGGGTGTGTTAGGGAATTGATTATGTTAAAGGATGCTGTGACTCTGCCATCACAGGCTGCATTTTCCTGGTGCTTCTTGGCTCTTGGAATGACTTCATGCTGTTATCTTTAGTTTCCCTCCCACCAAGGCCACAGTGGTCCAGAGAAGTTGAAACCTGCTTCTGCAGGGCTGGACCCATAAAAAGCAACCTGGCCTGTGATAGGTTAAAAGTATCCCACTCCTCATGAATAAGCAGTACCCCAGCCCAAAACCAATAAAAGGACCTTCCTCTCTTTGTTCTCTTCTTCTCTTCCTCTTCTTCTTCCTCCTCCCTCCTCCCCTCCCTCTCCCTCTCTCCTCCCATCCCTTGAATAAAATCTCCAGTCGGACCTCTCGGTGTGCTGGCATAGGTGTTGAGCGTCACAATTCCCTTTCAAGATGGGCGATAGGAAAACCCTGTGGACTACGTGGTCAGGGATAGTGCGGCGTGAGTAGTTGAAAAATATGGATGAGTTGGGAAACCAAAACTTGAGTTTGTAGTTTTGTTTGATAATATTTTCCCCCTTTGGACCTCATTGTCTTTTTTAGTAAAATGGGGTTGAAGATGTTTTTTGTTTTAATGAAATTCACATGTGGAGACAGTATCCTTGTCCATTAGCAAGGGACTCATCAAATAAAACATGATGCAGGCAAAATGTGGTACAGACGTCTTTTAAGAAAACAAAGTCTTGGGGCCGGGTATTTAGCTCAGTGGTTCCGTTGCCTGCCTTGCAAGCACAACGTCCCGATTTTGATATCTGGTACACCAAAAACAAAAACAAAAAAAACAAACCAACAACAACAAAAACAAAGTCTTTATGTCCACTTCTAGGTGGAGAAACAAGGAAAACATGCCGACTGTTTCAGACCCAACCTGAGTCCATTAATTGGTGAATGGATAAACATAATGTGAAAAAAAAAAATATATATATATGCAATAAAGGAACACTATAAGGATGAACCATGACAGGACTGTCCTACATAAGGAGGGCAGATACAAATATGCCAAAGTGTGTGTCCAGGTGAAATGTCCAGAAGGAAAAATCTATAGAGACACCAGGTAGCTGAGTGGTTGCTTGCGACTGGCGATGAGACTGAAAGTGACCACAAATGGGTACAAGGAGTCCTTTTTTGGAGTGGAAAGAATGTTCTGAAGTTGGATTTTGGTGATATGGATATGCAGCTTTGTTAATTTTTCTACAATTAATTGAATTGCACACAAAATGGATGAAGCATATAGTATGTACATTATAACTCAATAAAGCTGTTAAAAATCTTTACGAACTCGTGGAAAGATGACCACACAAAGTGAAAAAAAGTTAGATGCACAGCAGTGTAAAAATAGATGTGCTGAGGTTATTTCTGTAAGGATATCCAATTCACAGTAAACAGTAGTTGTTCCTGAGGAGATAGCCTTGGGGATCTAGTATGGCAAGATTTTTCTTTGTACATACCCAAATTACAACATGAAGTCCTATTTCTTTTTCTTTTAAATACACTTATTAAAACTTTAAATTGGGGACCGGGGATTTAGCTCAGTGGTTCTGGCAACTGCCTTACAAGGACCTGAGTTCGATCCCCAGTACCAAAAAAAAAAAAAGGAATAAAGAATGAACCAGGAGTTAAAACAAACAAACAAACAAACAAACAAAAAACACTTTAAATTGGAAGGTCTGGGGATATAGCTCAGTGGTAGAGCACTTGCCTAGACTGCGTGAAGCCCTGGATTTGGACCCTAGCACTAAACATAAATAAATACTAGGGTTTGAGATGTTAAATCTGGAAGTTTATATCAAAATAAATGAAACTGTTGAACTGCACGTCTTTTCCTTATGTGGGTAGTTAGAGCACCTGAGCAGCATACAGTTTTGCCGCAAAACATACAGTTTTGTCACTCGGCCTCAGATCTGAAGCTCTCCTTCCTCTAAATGCTTCCCCGTCTCACTTCTTCAAACCAGACATCAAAGCTTTTCTCCTCTCACTGCTGCTACCTCCCTCAGGATCCCTCGCCTGGATTACTGCCCCACCTGCCCCAGCCTGCTCATCTTACCCCTCCAAATCATCCATTATTCATGTGCAGACACAGTGATCTTTCTAAAACCCAAACCGCTCACGCTCCTGCTTAGAATTTCCACTGGCTGCTTTACCGGGGTGAGTTCTGTTTAACTTGGCGTTGGGCTTCTCGCGACCTGAGCCGGCCTGGCCTGCCCTGCCCTGCCGTTTTACTTTCTCGGCATTTCCTCCAAATGCAATTACTCGATGCTTCCCCAAAGCGCCATATGCTTCCAGGCCTCCAGGCTTTGCACCAGCTGTTTTCTACGCATTGGACTGCTCTTCCTCAACAAGTATTTATTGAACATGTAGTAAGTGCTGGGAGCTGAGGAATGAGCAAGGCATGCACAGGAGCCCAGTCCTCAGGCTGGTGGGAGAAACAAAAATGAAAAGCATGTAATTATTATGAGCACACATGTTGGGTGTTAAAGGTTTGCTGAGAATGCCAGTCACGACCTCAGAAAGTTGAGGCCTCAAACTGGGCCCAGGGAGCAGTGTAACGCGGATTAGAAACCCAGATCTACTGGTGACTACCTCTGTGACTATGAAATGGAGGTAGTAATGGCCACCAGATTGAGTTGTGGTGGTATGCGGGGAGGCGACTTCTTAAAATAGGTATCATCTCCGGCTGGGGATTTAGCTCAGTGGTGCTGCCGCTTGCCTCGGAAGCTCCAGCTCCCGAGTTCGATCGCCGGTACCAAAACGAAAATAAAAAGATCGCAAGGCTTCTTCCAGGCACTTCCACCAGGGGCCTGGATCTCCGCCCCGAGGCCGCCTGTGATCTGGGACGCAAGTACCTGCCGTTACAGCCAGCCCGCCCGGTCAGCCAGCAGCCCACGGGAGAGGAGCAGGGGCCGTGTGCTGGGGAGCAGCGCTCCGCCCCATCTCCCCACTTCTGGGGACAGCCCCCTAGCTCGTTCCCGCCCCCGCTCTTGAATCACGGGGGGGCGGGGCCATGACCCATTCATGCTGGGAATCGGATCCAGATGTTCCCGCGGCGCGTGCAGCTGCATCCTTGCCTTTTTTGGCAAAAAACGTGTGGCCGCGAGCGAATCCCGGGCCGCCCCCGCGGATCCTTGGGAAGAGGGGGAATGGAGCTGAGGGTCTAGGCCCGACAGAGGAGCTAGCAGGCCCGAGTGTTCCCACTGCGGGACTGGGGCTGGGCTGTTGTTAGGAGAGGGGGCGATGTGTACCAGACAAAGGAAGAACCCACTGCCACTGGGCCAGAGTCTGGGACCTCCCCCAACCCCTCCCTTCTCCACTGCAAGGAAAGCCCTCTCCCAGCAGGCAGAAGGCAGGCCAGGCTGGAGAGGGACGGTGGCCGGCCGGATGGGGAATCCCCTTCCTGGAGACCTCCC